TAAGCGAACACCTCGGCCACACAGCCAAATGGAAAACATGTAAAAAAGAGCCCCTGCCCCCGCACCCGCCCCCGCAACAGCCAGACATGGAATATGCACACGCAAAGTGGAATTTCTTTCGATTATTGCTGCGGCTGTCTGTTGTCATTGCAATTGAATATCAATTCAAAATGAAATCGAACTGGAAAAACGCTTCAGAAACTTTCAATTGAATGCCGTAATTGTTGCTCTAACGATTAAAGGGAAACCCATTACAGGCATCATTCCGCTTCCACTCAATTGGCCAACCAATTGGAGAGGCTCTGAGCTACTCTGAGCTTGGGATAATTAAAGATCCTATCGAACCACTCGAGCCACAGCCAAAAAAATAAAAGGCCAAAGCTGAATGTCAATCGTTGTCTTATCAAAACACAGCAACGAACAAGCAAATTCAATTTCTCTTTTCACGGAATCCCAAAAACTAATAAATCCGGCAATCCGACCAGCATTTGTCTGTCTTTTGGTCTGCTTGCCCTGCGGGTCAAAGTCAAAGTCAAAGATCTCTTGCAGCGAGTGAAAATCAAACAGAAAGAAAACTTTGTCAGCGCTAAATGAAAACCTCTTCCTCTTGTACTCGTACAGTAATTTCGCTGATCCGAATGCTATTGGTCTCTGGCATTGCAATTAAAAATGCAGACCATGCACACGGCCTAAGGGATTTCGAATTTTGTTGTGTTGACAAATGCAAATCGAAATCGAAATCCAAATCCAAATCCACTTTCATTTTTAAGGCTGTGACACTCTTTGGGCTGGGTATATTTCGTTTGAGTAAATGACATCAATCACAGCGCTTGCACGCACACAGCCACACACAGTCATCGACCTGTCAATATATCATTATCTCAATGTCTATCCACTTGACCTCAGCAGCGGCAACGTTTGTTGTGGGCGTCCGTCTGCGATCAGTGGGCGACGTCTTTGGGTATTTTGTGTGACTGACAACCCATCACAATTAGTTATAATTATGTTGGACATTCGGGGCTATAAATAAGCGATGCTCCACCAACATTTAACCGCAAAAGCCATACGAACGCTGACGGTAATCCAACACGGCTGGGATCGAACTTTGGCTATGGCTAAAAAAGTGGAGCAAAATTGTGGAGTAGTTCATTGATTCACTGATCTTTCATTTCATCTTAATCCACTCTGTAGAACATAAAATAGATCTTAGCTACAGTTTCCTTTTCCTGTCTTTTGTAGTTGCTTAATTTTTGTCTTACATCATCCAACCGATTTGTGAGGTTTCTTTTTCAATCTCTCTCCCTCTCTGCATCAGCATTAAAATTGCTTAGCTTTGGGGAATTACTTCAACATTCTTTGTGCCACATACATACATATCTCTCCCTCGCATCTGTTTTCGTGCAATTGTGTGGGTTTCTTGTTAAGATATTCTATTTTATTCGTACAATTCCGTGCTTCCTGTGCGCCTCCAGCTTCGAGCGAGCTTTGAGACAATTTCCTGCTCTCTGGTTATTCAAGCAACAGTTTCAATCGTGTTACACACAAAAAAAGTTAATTATTTAATGATTTATGATCAGCTGGCAGTGGTTTTTGCTGTTGCTTTTCATTTCCATTATGGCCAATTAGGGTTTTGGATTTTAGATTTTATTTATAAGCATTCGCTAAGTTTAATGAAACTTGTTATTCGGCAAATGATGTCATAGAGGAGCACGGCAACGCCTTGAGAGATAAATGAATGGTAGAGTGAGACTTGGCGTCGCCAAATTTGTATTCCCTCCCAAATCTAGAACCAGATCCAGATCCAAAAGATAAGGCCTGCTGCTGCTGGTTGGTCTTCTTTTTGGTCAAATTAATTGTGGAGTGGGGGGGCTCGAGTCTTTTGATCGCAGAAATTGACCCACATCGAGGCGAAACGATCTATTAGCTGGCTGTTTTCGTGACTTATTAAGCAAGTAACTTGCACAAGTAGCTGCAGGAATAGAGAGCAACGAAGCCACATCTGGGGTACACTTTTCATTCGTTGTTTGGTGGCTGTTTTACCATCTATTGGGTTACCCCTTGGAGTAGCATTTGATCATGACCGACGTGGATGTGCTCAGCTCGAGAATGAAGTCTCGATTGCATCTGCAGTCAAAGACCATTGGTGCGGAGCGCATTAAGAAGGCCAAGGATAACAACGAGGACATTGCCGTGCTGAGCATGTTCCTGCCAAATGCCTCCGCCGTGGAGGAGAATCGCAATTTCTATTGCCAGCTGGGCGACTACTGCCGCCTGGGCGATCCGCGTGCCACCAAAGCAGGTAATCCCGCACAAAAAAATAACAGTGGAGTCATAAATTACTCGTATGTTAATCAACGCCGGAATGATACATCATAATTTATCATTATTATTGCCCGAAAACTATTCAAATTGGCGGAGAAGAAAGGAACCGCCCACAGTCGACAGTCTCAATAGAGCCAATAGCGTCATCTTTATGGGATGATGTGGAAGATGTGAAAGATGACTAACCAACCAATGGACCTTTTATGGAAACTCTGAAAGCAAGCTAGACACGAACTCTGTCTAGATATTTGATATCACAAAATGTAGGGGCTATAAATGAGGGTATACAAATCGGCAGAAGGGGAAGAAGAACTGCTTAAACTTTCCCTAAGAAATTAAAGAACAATTTTCAGCCAGCATAACCCGAACATTTCCACACAATTAGCCGCTCTAGCCTACATTTCCGTGCCTTTTCTTTGCCATTGTGTCTGCTTATTTTTGGCAACAGACTTTTCGAACACGCAATAAATAAAGTCAGCAGAACATTAAACAGAGCTCCGCCAGTCGCTAAAATGTCTTCCCTGGAGTGGAGTACTCTTATGGCAATAGCTTTTGTCTAGGAGACTAGCCGTATATTTGCGTAATTTCTGCATTAATTGCCAAAGACTTCAGCAGAGAGAAAAAGAAAGAGTTAGAGAGAGAGAGAGAGAGTGGGGGCGTGACAGGCACCCCCACCCTGGGAGAATGTTGCATGTCTGGCAAACATAATGGGGGAAAAGTTTTTGTTTTGTTTCATATTGAAAATCCGATTGTCTTCCATCCACTGATTGAGTGTGCCCTGAATATGTCGAAGCCATGTCGATGGCTGGAAATTGAGGGTTTTCTCTAGATTAAATCGCAACCAGAGCTGGGTTAGTGGCAAAGTTGCAAAGTTCAAGGTTTCAGCCCGCAAAACAAAAAGCGGAAATTGATTGAGAAATAAATTGATTTCACCCTCCATGAAACTCTTCTTGCCTCTTTCGCAGGTACCAAGAAAATGGAGTACAAAACCCGGCAGTGGCACGAGAATTGCTTCTGCTGCTGCGTTTGCAAGACGGCCATCGGCACCAAGTCGTTTATACCCAGGGAGCAGGAGATCTACTGTGCCGGCTGCTACGAGGAGAAGTTTGCAACGCGCTGCATCAAGTGCAACAAGGTAAGGGAATCTGGAATTATCTGCATATGAGATGTTCTATATTAATATGTATTCCTCTTAGGTAATCACCTCTGGTGGTGTTACCTACAAGAACGAGCCCTGGCATCGGGAGTGCTTCACCTGCACCCATTGCAACATCACGCTGGCCGGCCAGCGATTCACCAGTCGCGACGAGAAGCCCTACTGTGCCGAGTGCTTTGGCGAACTGTTTGCCAAACGCTGCACGGCCTGCGTGAAGCCCATAACAGGTGGGCATAGGGCAGGGCTTTTTCCCTGCAAAGCCTTATTTTTATTAACATTTGGATGGCTTATTCCACAGGCATTGGCGGCACGCGCTTCATCTCGTTCGAGGATCGGCACTGGCATCATGACTGCTTCGTGTGTGCCAGCTGCAAGGCCAGTCTGGTGGGACGCGGCTTCATCACCGACGGACCCGACATCCTCTGCCCCGACTGTGCCAAGCAGAAGTTGATGTAAGGATCGGAACGGATCGGTGGCGCAACAAGCGGATATTAGCCATAAACCCATTCAACGAAATTATGGATCAAATCATGAGGAAACACACACTTAAAGGGGAGAAATATTACATATACAGAAGTATATATAAATATAAATGTATTAAAACGATATACAAGAGAAGATAATGCCTTAAAACGTACATTAGAAATGATGAGAAATTAGAGCGAAATGTTGAAGGAAGCAGAAAGGAGAAAGGAAAGTCCTAAAGAATCAAAAGAAAATTATATACAATTTTTGTAACATTTCAAATTGATAGATAGTCCTTGCTTTATCTGCACCATCAGAGATTGTATAGATATTTATAATTTGTAATTGCATTTCAAGGCGAAATCAAAATTCACACAGCAAACAAAAAAACAAAAGAAAAAGCACACAAAAAAAGAAGGAAGGAAAGGGAGGAGAGACCAATATGAATTACTGGTACCATTTGTAACTACACATTGTTGCCGCATTGAAAAATGTATGTTTATTTATTTATTTTAAGTTTTAACCAAGCGACAAACGGAGTGCCACACATTGTTGGAAGAGTAGGGATTGAAGAGAGTGGAGCCGAAGAGAAGAGTAGAGTGTCTTAAAACAGTTATATTAAATTTAAAAAAAAAAAGGAAAAACGCCACACGATTTTTATGTTTGATGTGAATTGTTTTGTTAATTAAACAGCAACACACACGCACACACGCACACATACACACTCCCACACATGTCCTAGCAATTTAATTGTTTAGTTATTATCATTTTCCCTTCGATAGTTTTTGCCTTGCTTTGCCCACAGGAGGGCGACTCCGCTACTCGAAGCACTAATTACACACACAAACAAATAATGATAATTGCGACACAACATTATATCAAAATGTCCTTAACTACTTAATGAAATTCAATCTAAATAAATTAATAAATTATCAACCAAATTGTTTCATGTGTCTTTCGAGGGAGAACTCAAACTAAAGAGAGGAACAGCAACATCAACAAAAATCGCTCACTTGATTTTGTATTTGTGTGCCTGTTTGTTTGTATTTGTTTGCTTCTATTGCGGTCTACTGTGGCGAACGAGAGTCCAGTCTTCATTCACCTTGTAGGGCCCCTCGATGTGGCAGCCGCTGGCAGCGCAGAAGCCCACCGTGTAATAGGGAATAGCACGAGAGTCGCGATAGTGCAACGACTCCATGCCCTGCCGTATCAATGCTATGGCCTCCTCCTCCGTAAATTCTCGGTCCTTTGGCTTCTTGTCACGCACCATGGGCAGAATCATATGCTGGGCTGCGTCAGTGGTAGCTACGTAGTCCTCGACCTGGACGCCCCGAAAATCAATGTAGGATAGGTAGGGACCTGCATTTGGTTCCATGCCACCCACAACCACAGACACAGGTGTAAGATCATTGGAACTGCGGCGAGCGTATGTGATTTGCCTCAACCAGCCGGCCAGAGATTTGGGTTTCATTTCCGCGGTGTCCTGGTAGATGCGATCCGTTATGACCTGTGCATCAATCGTACGCTTGAACATTTGGATGTCGGCAAAGTCACCGCTTCCGCCCATTACAATCTGCTCATTGATTTTGAAAACTCGATCCACACTCTGAAACCGGGGCATCGACCCATAGTGGACACAGGTGTCGGCAGCAACCACGACCCCAGTGTCGAATCGAATTCCGATTACGGAGGCTCCCATGTTGATGGCCACTCGACCCGGGTCTTTATTTAACCCAATGAACTTCAGGAACTCGTCCACTTGCTCCGTGCTGGCCCTTTCATACTCTTGGTTGTTCATTTTAATTTTTCGATTTTTGTGTGTAAATATTTCAAGAGAACTGAGATCACTTTTCGTTTCTTAATAGAAAAACGTCTATACTAAAATTGATCTGGCCTGCTAAATCCATAGACTGTAGTAAGTATATAAACAAAAGGTGCTAATTGTTGGGACGTCATCAAGTCAAAAAAAGACATTTCATGCAAAACTACGGCGAGCTTCGGCGAATAATCTACGTAAAGTAAAGGTTTCTCCTCTCTCTTACCTTTTGGGCCATCTCATATTATATGATTACGGTTTTCGTTGCAAGCATTTGCTGCTCCTGTCGCTTACACACAAATTTCGACGATTTTGTGGTTACGTCGGACGGATAAACGGGTATATTAGAGTACGTAAACGAGCGACGATTTTGGAAAGAACGACGGCACGAGATTGCATTTTTGGGTGGATTAATATAAGGTGAGGCATAACTTAACAATCTCGTGTGAAAACACTAGCAATAGAGAGTCAGATCACCTAGACCTCTTCTCACCATGCACGGAAACACTTGAAAAGAGATTCGACTCCCTTTCGCTCCTTTCTTATTGCTTTTCACCTCTTCTTTACATTGGGTATTCTCTGCAACTGCCAGGCATTCTGCCTACACGCACACACACAGCCAGAGATCACGTGAAAAAAATTAGTTTTCCAAAATATATGCTTACACACATGTTGTACATCAAATGCACAATTGGACACTTTTCACTTTTCACTATCACTTATTTCCTTATTTTGCCTCAGCCTCTTTGCGTTTCGAATTCCATTCGGGAGAGCGTCCACACGATCTTTTCTTAGTTCTTCTCCTCTTCTTCACATTAGGTATTGGAGTGGGAAAGGGACACAACTCTGCGCCGAAAATTTGCACACACATTGCCAGGGATACACTTAACACTTCACTTTCAAGTATTTCGCCTTCGCCGCTCTGCATTTTGAATGCCATTTGGAGGCTGCTGCCGCCTCTCTTGATCAGGAAGTTGTTCTTGCAATAAATCACACTTTTTGAACACTTTAAACACTGCACACTACACTGCACTACATCACTACATGTCGCCTTCGCCGAACTGCCTTTTAGATGCCATTTTGCCGCCTCTCTGGATCTGGAATTTGTATATTTTGTAATCACTGCACACTACACTACACACACACTTCACTTCACCACTGCGCGACAATTTTCCCGATGGATTTTTCATCCATTTCCCGATTTTCGCGACCCGAACCGCGGAGCTGACTTAAAACCACGCGCTTTTTCCGGCTGAAAAAATGAAAGTGAGAGTAGAACATTCCATGCTCTCCTTCTTCTCCTTCTCCTACTCGAAGAGAGCAAGCACTTGTCAAAGAAACGGTGAATGGCTTTAAGGGGTAAGTGCTCAGCACCTGGGTTGGCAATTGGTGGGAGAGGGGAAACGAAGCTGAGAAAAATGGCCGAAAAATTGAAAGTGAGAGAGCGATGCAGTTTTAAATGCGTATGAAGCTTACTTCCTAGAACATTCCATGCTCTCTTTCTGCCTAATTGCTCTCTTTTGTCTTCGACTTTTTTGTTCTCCCCTTCTACTCCAAAAGAGCAAACGTTTGTGTTTTCATAAGCGAGTTGTAAATGCAACGGTAAATGGTGAGAAGGGGAAATCTGTGCTGCCAGACCGTTTGCAATGTTTTCTTATCATGTCATCTTAATATTAATTATCTTAATGATATGATAATGCCCAAAAGTATATCATGACTTATTTGTGTGTCCAGTATTCACGCCGCTGTTACTTTGTGTGGCAGTTAACTGGGGGATGCCTCATGTAGAAATCATGTAAGCAAACGTGTAAACTACATTCCCTGTGTCGCTGCCATGTAGCTTATTTTAAATCGCATTTTGATACATTATTTTTGGTCTATAATTATATTTTAAACATTAGTTTATCTGACAAAACTCAACTCACTAGAACTAAATGTTTATCAGGTGCGAGTGCGAACGCATTAAATGCCTTTCCAGGGAATATAACACTTTCACTGCACACACAGCAATCGAGTATCGAGTATTGGCGAAACGCCTGCCTGGCTTTTTGGGGCCAGCCGGAGAATAATATAACAGTTAATTGACAAATAAATGCAAATCAGTAACTCAAACATCGCAAACGACTCAAAGGCACAGACAAAGCGCAGCGAGAGCGCGAGGCAGGGGGCACGGCACGTCTCAGGTGCGTCGGTCCGCTGTTGTGGCCTGGCCAAGTGCCAAGCGCTTAAACGGGCCGCGCAAAGGTAAATACAAATAGCACTCAATTACACTCAGGGTACCTAAAGCAGTAAAAGAGTCACAACAAATGTTAAATTGATAAAAAGAAGCGCAGCGGTTGGAATAAGTTCGTTGGTCAGTTGGAAGCCAAAATTAGTGCAACGACAGGCGACTGCCAGTGCGGGTCTTCAACCACTTTACCACTTCACTGCTGAATGATGCAGCTGAATCACATAGCCGTGGGCCTGGTGCTCCTCTCCTCAGCCCTGCAGGCGGCCATTCTGCCGCTGACCCGCATCGACAAGGGCAGTGTGGACGACCAACCGTTTGCCTTGGATACGGAAAAGTTCGGCTATCTGGAGCTCAAGCCAAATGGGTCTATGATCCTGAGACGTGGCCCCAACCAGAGCGGCAGTAATCTGCAGAATCTCCTGTTGCTGTGTGGAGTTTTGCAGGCCATCAAACAAGGCCAACCACACCCACACGCGCATGGCGATACGAAGCTCAACATCAAGATCTACGGCGATGGAGTGGAGCACAAGTTCCCCCCACTGCTGGAGAACATTATTCAGCGCATACAGACGTACTTCTCCGTTTACCGCTACACGGACACCAGTCAGCCGGTGCGAAGAGAGGAGTTGCCCACTAAGCAAGCCGCAGAGGGGGAACTGGAGCTGGAAGTGGATTCCACGACTGTGCGCCCTGGCGAGGAGGATGATCTGATAGCCATCGGTGAGCAGGATGCCTACATTACAGTGGGCGAGGGCGCAGATTAGATTCCCCCGCTTGGATAATGTTATTTATTTCATATTTATGCACACTCCCCCTAGCTGTAAGCCAATAAAATGCCGTTCCCCAAGTACCCAGATTTGCCCAAGTTTGGGCACGTTCCGTGAGTGTTTTGTATGCATGGGACAAAAACGAATGTTTTTCCCGTGTAATATGTGCTCGTGATTTGGAATTTTGCAAACTGCGCAAGCGCAACAACAGTTTTTTGGGGGTCATTGTCATTGCACAATATGCAAAGTTGCTGAGAGCAAACTGCTCATAATTGGGTTTGCTTTCGAGCATAAAGAGAATGCACTCTAGTTGGAATTTCTCACCATACATTCCACGAATTGCATTACCCCACCCACTAAGAGTTCTCTCTTTCTCTCCCTCTCTCTTCTGCCTTTTTCCTTACATTTTACATTCACTTTTTTATTGTTCTGTTTTACTTTTTCAATGTTATGGTTAATGAATATGTAATGATGATGATGATGATGTATACGAACTGTTCGTGATGATAATTAAGTATGAATGTCTCTTTTCCCGTTTCGCTGCTGCTGCTGCTGCTGCTGCTGCTGCTGCTGCTGCTGCTTTTGTTAATTAATGGCTGGAAAATGGAAAACTATGTGCGATGCAATGCGATGCGTGTGTTCGGTGTGTTAGTAATTAAATATACGCTTGTGGGTGTATGCGGAGCGGGTGGTGTGTGGTATGTCTGTGGTATGTGGATGGTTTATGGTGGGAATAAAATAACCCCCAGCTCAGGCTTGTTGTCTGTCCAAGCCGAGCATGCGATGAGAATCAGTCGAAGAACCAAAGCTGCCCATAGTAGGAGTGAGATTCAGAGATGCGTTCTGCGGGTTGGTGGACGTACATCTAGGCCTGTGGCACAATGGGAATGGCAATGGCAATGCTCTCAGCGGGCTCTGACTTGAGTATCGGCTGCTGCTGCTGCTGTTGCTGCGGCTGCGGCTGCTCGATGGGCTGCTCGGCGGATATGGCCTTGATCAGTGGCTCCTCTGGCAGTCCCTTGGCCGCTGTTAGGTAGAAATTTGTTGACAAAATGGTGTAAAAAAGTACTGGCTGTCTACTCACGCTCTTCCTTGATCTGCTCCTTGGCGATTTCGGGGCTCTGCAGCTCCTGCTTGATGGCATTGCTCTCCAGCAGGCGTCCAGCGAACTCGGCCTTGGTAGCCTGTGGCTCTGCGATGATTGGCTGTGGCTCCAGTGGCTGCTCCTTGAGCAGTGGCTGCTCCTTGAGTAGAGGCTGCTCCTTCAGTGGCTGCTCCAGCGGCTCCTTCTTCAGTTCAAGCTCTGGCTTCAGCTCAGCCTTGACTGCCTTCAGTTCCGGCTCTGCCTTAACCAGCTCCAACTCCTTCTTCAGCTTCGAATCTGCCTTCACTTCGGGCTCGGCCTTCACGCCAGTCTCTGCGGTTGGGGCCAGCTTCACGGCTGCCACGCCAGACTCTGCCACAACTTCTGGCTCCTGCTGGATGCTGCGTGCACGGATGGAGGATATGGGCCAGGAGTAGACGGGAGTGTGGACCACATCGACCACTGGATGGGTGTGGTACACCTGCGGCAGGCTGTAGAAGTGACGCGCCTCGGCGGCAATCAGTGGCTGGGTGTTGGCCGGCGTCTCAATCAGCTCCTCCTTCTTGGAGCCGCCGGGGAAGAGGGCGGGGAAGAAGCCTGCACCGGCGGTGGCGGCGGCTGCGGCAGCATCTCCGATCTGTCCCGACGCCGTCTCGACGCCCTGCGACACCTGCTGCTGTATCTGGTTGGCGGTCTCCTGCACGCCCTCAAACTGCTTGCCCTCCAGTCCGCCGGCGCGGCCCGAGCCCACCGTGTCCAGCACGGGCACCACCGAGGCAGCTGCTCCGGCCGGCACGTACACGATCGTCTCCTCATGGTGGGGCGTGGCCACACGGGCCAGCGGCGAGAGGCCGTGCACGTAGCGCAGCGTCGGCTCCAGGTGCACCTGCGCCTGCGGCGTCACGATCACAATGTGCTGGGCCGTCGGCTCATAGGGCTTGGCCTGGCCGCCCAACGCTGCCAGGGAGAGGCAGAACAGCGCAAGGAGGAACATTCTGCAAAGGGGTGAGCGGGGGATCAGGGGTAAGCATCGATTGGATCGGATCTACAACTCCTCCTGCTCCTCCTGCTGCTCCTGCTGCAAACTGGTCTAGCCACTGGTCTATTTATAGACCTTCTCCATCCACCAAAGTCCATTCTAAATTTAAAACTACTTTGTGCCTCTCTCTCTCTGTGTGTGTGTGTGCTGCAGGACAGGATGCACCATGGCTCGAGTGCCTATTAACCGGTTTGCCAACTGATTGGCCAGCTCGGCATCGCACTTCTAGTGTAGAGACAAGCTAATGACCAGAAGCTGCTTTATGGCTTCAATCTGTACTTGCCAGTGGAGCTTCTATGCCCCCACTGATTGCCAGCAAAGAGCGTTCTTTGTGTGTGGCAAGTTTGTTGCTTAAGTCTTTTGTTGCGGCACGAAAATAGCCAAAGACTTTGGGTTGTACTCCTGTCATCGATATTATGCAAGCTTCTACATGTTTCCCAAACATTTCAATAGAATTTGATGGAAGTATTTACACAGCAATCAATTTATTTACTGACTTCAATGGCTGCTCTCACTTTGATTATGAAAGTAGAACGAACATTAGGCGGAGTCGCGCTGTGAATATGTCTGCTAATATATTGTTCTTTCAATTTATAATCTGCAATAATATATATTCAAGATTCCTATCAACAATAGAAACCAAGCAAGTTTCTGTCTAGATTTTTGGCTCTTTTGTGTAGCTCTAGCTCGAGGGCATTGAAGTTTTTGTCCATTTTGCGAGCACTTAAGTTCAACTAAACGATAATTTCTCTATCAAATCTCATAACTCTCCACAGCATCTATGGAACTCAGACACATTCCCCCGAGACGCTTCTTTCTAGTCACACTTTAATGTGTCTTTTGGGCTACTCAAAACCCTCGCTTGCAGCTTATTTAAGCTCCATAAAACCAAATTTACAATTAAATGCTCAAGAACTAAGCCTAGACATGCGCGCACACAACTTTCTCGGAGCGTGTAAATGTGAATAGTTAGGACAAACATAAACCCAAGTTGGATGGCAGAACTTACCTTTCAGTCAGCGTTTGATGGCCTTTCACTACTTTCCCAACAGCTAGGCAGGCAATGCGAGGCACACAGAGACACTTTAATGGGCACACAAACTACACGAACCACAAGCGGAGATACTTCTTGAGGTACTTCTTGAGATACTTCTGCTGCTGGCACAATGATTGCTGGTTGCGGTAGGGCTGGTCTGGCGCAGTCTCTTCGGGGTTCAGTCTTCAGTCTTAACACGGCGACCACTTCAAGGAAACTGGTGGCCAATGCTGCCTGGCCATGGCCTTTTATAATGTGCGCCACGGACTGACCTAGCCCAAGAACAAAGAACCTGAGCCCCAACCAGAAGAGCTGGAAATGCTGCAGCTTCCCGCAGGAGGGGAGCATCTGGGCATCTGAGCTGGGTATGGAGTTGCCAGTCGATGGCCACAAAAGGAGCCAAAGCCAAAGCTGGCTAAGCAACAATAATAGTAGGGGCAGGGGAGAGACTCCACTTCTTCCACTTTTTTTTGTCTGGTTTCAGGTTCTCTGCAGATCGGCAGATGGTCAACGTAGATGCGGTTCGTCTCGGCTTTGGTCTTGCTCTTGGTCTTGATCGTGGCATTTTGGTTTGTGTCTCCTTGTGGCAGCTCTGAAGTTTGTTAAACCTGCCGCGTAATAGAAGTCAAGCATGGCCGGGCGATTGCATTGAAGCCACATTGACAGCCCGAGAGCTGGGCTGGAGACTGGCAACTGGTTCAGGTGCAAATTGAATGCAATGCGTTTCGTTTCGTTTCGTTTCCACTCCCCCCCTCCCCGGCAGCCATTTAGATAATTTATTTTCATGTTTTGCTGGCGGAAAAGATTAATCAAGATTTGCACATGCTTGCGCTCGGCTGTGCAGAATTTTCTGATTTTCTTTTGCTTGCCTGGAAGTCAATTTATTCTCGCCATAAACTATAATCACTTCCCGCAGATCGGACTTTTGATCGCTTTCAACTTCCCCCTGGACTCAGAGTTCTTCCAATAAAAACTCCACTCAAAATTAAGTTAATTCAATTATTCGACGAAACTTTATTGGCAATGCCGGAAGCTGGCACACAAAAATGTTGCCCGGCTCTCTCGTTATTCGTAGTGCAAACGGCGCTTGGGCTTGGACATCATCTGCGCCTGTGCCTGACGCGCTGCATAATCCTCCGCAATGGCTGTGCGCCACTTGTCCACCAGCGAGTCCCCGCCAGAGAGGCGCACCGGCACGAGCGGCGTCTCGCGGGTCAGCGGGAAACGTGCCACGGTCAGGGGTCCATCGTTGTAGTCGTAGTCATCGCTGGCCTTCTCGGCCGCAGAGTTGGGGGTTTTGATCACCAGCTGGTTGCGGGTGGGCAGGGAGATGCTGAAGGCAGCGGCCTCCTCGGGCGAGACGCCAGCAATGGCCGTAGCCTTGGGGGAGGCAACAGCCAGGCCATTGCGGCCGGACAAGGCCACAGCATTGGGCTTGGAGGAGGCGACACCGCCCTCGCCGGCAATGGAGAGACCTGCGCAGGGAGGCACTAGAAGTTGTAGATTCACTTTGATCTCTGAGATTCCATGGACTCACCCACTGGCTTGGCCTCGGCCACAGCGGCATCCTTCTTGGGCGCCATGACGGACACACTGTCGTTGACATCCTCGTAGGGATCCTCGCTGTTGGGCGGCAGAAAGTCCTCCGGCGAGAACTGCTGCTCCGTGACCTCATCCAGCTTCTGTTCATCGATCTTCTGATCCGCCGGATTGCTGCCACCAAAGTTCGAGGGCTGCTTCTGTGGTGGCGGCGGCGCCGGGGGAGAAAGGGCAAGCAGCTCCGGCTGCAGCAGCACACTGAAGTCCTTGATCTGGCCCGTCTGCTGCAGCAGCGCCAGGCTCTGGGCGGCCTGGCCGAGTTCCAGCAGGCTGCTGGCATAAATCTGATTGTCCTCCGCGCTGAAGGAACCCTTGCGCTTGGCCATTTCCTGAATGGCCACGAGACGCGCGGCTGCCAGTTGGATGCGATTGAAGTCACTGGCGCTGGCGGAGATGGAGGTGCTGCTGCTGCTGGTGCTCGAGCCACTGCTGGCCGCCGAGATGGTGATGGTGTCATCTGCCGTCTCCCGCGGCACGGCTCTCTGCTGCAGGATGTAGCTGCCGATGCTGCCATCACGCTGCGGACGCAGCTGCAGCAGTTGGCCACGCAGGCCGCCGTAGTAGGGCACCTCCTCGTAGATCCGCGATCTGTGTCTGCTTTTGGGGGGGTGGTGGTTGGGCTGTTACATAGTCGTTTAAAGAGTGTACAGAGGGGGGAAAGGGGGGAAAGGGGGGAAAGAGAAAGCGTGGAGGAAGCGATTGCATCTACAATAACTACAGAGGAGAGCTGTACAGAGATTTACTTTATTTACACACTATGGAGGATGAAGGATAATGACACAGTTTCAGGAACATCTTTAGGGGCAGCATCATCGAACTCCTCTCTGCTCCTCAGTTGAACAGATCCAGCTCCAAGTCTGCCGTGGCATGCGCCTTGCCACCCACACCGGCGATGGCCACCGAGTCCGGATTGAAGTACACATTCGTGGGCACGCCCTTCTTCAGGTAGGCCCGCGAAATGGGCGTGGAAATGGCTGTGCCGCCGTTGCCCACCACCGCACGGGAGTGCGGTTCGAGTATGAGTGCCGCCTGCTTGCGTCCCTGTATGGCCTGAGCCTGCAGCGGCTGGTAGGGCAGAAAGTAGTTGCCAAATTGGATCTGCGGAATGTTGCCCGAGCTGCTGCTGGTCTTGCCCGTGGCCTCCACCTTGACGGGCACGCGCTTCGGCTTCACTGAGGTGCTCTTTCGCAGCTTTGCGGGTCGCAGTTGCTGCTGGCTGGAGATCACATGCTTGCCGGGAATGGACAGTATCTCCTCGATCACGTAATTGGGATTTATTTTGCTCACCGCTGAGCGGAGACCCGAATCACTCTTAAGATCACCAGTGGTTTGTGTCTCGGCTGGCAGCTCTTGCAGCTTTTCTGGCTTTTCGAGCTCTTCCGCTATGCTTTCGGGCTTGATCGTGCTCGTGGTTGTTGCATCGGCTGTGGCTGGTGTGGTGGCTGTGCCAGGTGTGGTGGGTTGCAGCACGTATGCCAGCGGCAGACTGTATGCCGCGTAGAACGGACTGTTGTATATAACAGCTGGCTGGTAGGCGCCAAACGGCGTCGGTTGGTTCTCCTTTGCGAGCAGCGGCGCAGAGTGTGCCAGTTGAGTGCGTGGCGGCCAGGCCTCGAAGGAAGCAGTGCGCCAGTAGCCGTAAGCACTTTGTTTTGATATTTATTTGTGTGTGTTTTGGGGGATAGGATAGAGGGAAGGCAGCAGCCGGTTAGTAATTTAATATTTACAGCAACAATTGTTTGGAATGTGTTTTAGTAGGTGAAGAGCAAGCAGCATGCGGCAGTATAACAATGAGGATTAGCAGTGCGGAGTGGTGCGTGTATTGGATGTGGGGGTTTGTGTACACGATAGCAGCAAAAGCAAAAAACAAATTACGAAATACGAACATTTATTTTAATTACTAGCGAGAATACCAACTAAAAATGAAGCCTAACTAATATCGAAAAAATAGCTAAAGCACAAGTCAAGCCTCAGACTCAAACATCATCTCCTGCTCCTCCTCCTCCTCCTCCGTCGTGCCCGTGGGTGGGGCATAGTAAACCGTCGGTCCAGTGGCCACCACTTTGCCCTCCCGTGGAAAACTTCTCGCCTGCAGATCGGTGCGTGCCAGCGCATCCTGCAGATCCACATTCGCGGGTATGGAAATCACCTTGGCTCCTGGCCCAGCGATTGTGAGGCTGCGCGGATGTGTCAGGGCATAACCCCCAGGACCCACAATCGCTGTGCCGCCGCTGCCGGCTGTGGCCACGCCCCCGGGCCCAGCAATCGCAATGCCGCCCTTGCGCACCTTCAGCCGCTGGATGATGATGCCGCCCTCGCGGAGTGCCTGCTTCTGGGTGGTTTGCTGAGCGGTGGCCACATGGCCAATGGTGTGCATCAGGCCACCAGTTCCCAGATGGTTCTTGTGCGCAAATAGATGCTTCTCTTCGGACTGGGCGCTGGTGTCCTGCTCGGCGGCCGTGTTCTCCAGATCCTCGATGTTGCCATCGCCGCCGCCCTCCTCCTTCTCGTCGTCCCACTTGTAGTCCTCCTGCGTGTCGCTGGACAGCTGCTGCTGCTGATGCTTCTGCGGAATGCTGCCCACAATGATGGGCTGGGAGGGGGACAGTGCACCGGGCACCGGGCGGAACGGCATCCTGAATATATTCTGGAAAGCATTCTTGATGGCCGAGGATGTTTGGTTCTGCATATCGGCGATGTTGATGCCGGAAACGCGGAAGGGATTCAAACGATTGCGATTGGGCAGGAGTCCGCCGGCAGGAGGTAGGCTTGAGGGCGCAGATGTTGTGGCAATGGTGGGTGACAGCTGCTCGGCGTCCTTGCCACCAGCAGACGCAGCTCCCCGCACAGGTTTCACGGTGGTGCTCACACGCTTGCGATTCCCAGCGGCTGCCAGACTATTGTCGGTGGCAGCTGCCACAGTTGTCTGCGTTCTGTGGGCAGGCTTGTTGGAAGGCCTCTCCCTGGAGTCCAAACGGAACTCCTTGAAGTTCTGCGGCGCAGCTGGGGCTTTGGTGGTCGCTGTGCCATTGCCCCTCTTGGGTGTGCCATCCTCGTTCAGCGCCAGCTCTCTGGGCAGAAAGAACAAATGATATTTGGGCGTGGTCTTGCCCTGCTTCCTGCCCGACTTGGCCTTGCCATAGAAGCTGTCCACGTCGCCGATGATCTTGTAGCCCTTGACGCGGTACTCCTGGGCGGCATGCTCCCGCAGATACTGCTCCTTGTTCAGCTTGTACAGGTGCACAGGGATGACAAAGTGGGCGGGCAGCTGCTGTGCCTCCTGCGCCGTTGTGGGCTTTGGCAGCTCCACTTGGTTGGGTCGGAAATAAAGCTGCGATTGCTGCACCTCCACACTGGCTGGTGCGACTGTGCCCTTGCGCAGCCTTGGTGGCACATTGTAGCTGGATCCTGCCACATTTCGTGTCAGTTTTACTGCACGAATCGAGGGCTCGAGCAGCGTCTGGCCGTGGCTGCCGGCAAAGTGGTGCTGCTGCGCGTGGAACGGCTGATAGGCGGGCTTGGGGAACAAATACTGACTGGAGTCGAGTATGGGCGGGAGCTTCTTCTGCTCCGGCTGCTTCTTCACGTAGCCAAAGGCCTCATTGACGCGTGCAATCTGCTCGAGAATGCGCTTCGCCTCGTCCACCTTCTCGGCCGTAGGTGGCGCCACATTGGGATCAAATTCCTCGGGAAATTTGATCAGCCGCTGCTGCTGGATTCTGCAAACGAGAGTTTAGGGATTTGTTTGTTGTTGGTCTCTCAGTTGGCTTTCGTTTGTAAACTCTAATGCGTGAGACAGGGTCAAGGGTCATGTTGTTTGTATGTTGTGGTTAGGGCAAAGGCAAATGATTTTTGGGTTAGTCACAATTCCGCAGGCAACTGCAGTTCAGTTTTAGTCACAAATTCTACAGCGAGAGAGCAGCGCAAGTTCTACTTTTTTGGAATTAGCACAAAGTTGAACCCGGTTCACAGGCACAGGCACAGGCACAGGCTAGGGTCTTACTTTTAGTGGTTTTAGTACTTACTCGACGGCTGCGCCACTTGCATCCAGTGGGTTCTGGCTGGCGGCCAAGGAGGCCAGCCCCAGCACCAGCACCAGCGTTGACAGCTGCAAAATGTACAGAAAGATATGTAAATATCTGTGTAAGTGTGAGCCAAGTGCTTATGTTAATCGTTTATGCCAAGTTGTATTCTATCATAGGACTCAATCTGTGCTCTTTTGTTATTCCGATGTCGTAATGGCCCCAAGAATGCGGTCAAGTGTCTCGCGAAAGTCTTTCATTCTCAACGTTCCGCGCTCAACGTTCTGCGTTCTCTTTCCCACTCAGCTGTCGCAAGGCATTTGCATAATTTCTTTTAAGCTGCGGCCCGAAAAGTGAGAGCCGCAGCAAGCATCAGCTGAGGATGGAAGTACTCTCGCACTTTGCAGCTTTCCAGCTTTCCAGCTTTTCCCCTCCCCCAACTCGGTTCTCAAGTGCCGCACGCTCTGCAAATATTTGCCGCTCTCTTCAGCTCTGCAGCTTCCCCTCTCTTTCTGCCTCTCCTTTTCCTTCTTCCCTCTCCCGTTTACTCGCGCATTTGGCAAAGTCAATATTGACGCAATCTTCTTGGGCGACCGTTAGCACCGCACGCCCCTCTATCAAAACAGAAATGTCACCCAAGCTGGAAAAGAACTGAAAGCCCTGAAAGGCAAGAGCCAACAGCCAAGAGCCAGCTTCAGCCTCAGTGCCAGCTCCACCTTCAGCATCAGTAGATGGAGCCCCGAAAAAATGAAGCTGTATCTGAAGTTCGGGGCTCGTGTTGTGTCATTGACCTGAACCTCTAGGCGTCTGTTACGATTCGATGCCGAAAAGTAACTTGAAACAGCGCTGGAAGTTGGATATTGGCTGCTGATTGGACGGACTGGACTGGTGGCCGTCGAGCCTCAACGCTTATTGATTTGCAAGACAATCTCTTGCACTTCTTGGGCAAACGTAACCTAAGTCAAAGATGTATTTCTGTCTGTCTGGGCTTTCTTTTGTCTTTTGGCTTATTTATTATATTGGCCCGCGGTAACGACTCTGAGTAAAATTGGGTGTGTTCCGTGTTCCATCCAAAAACAAACTGGGTTAATGTCTCGAATGCAAAGTTCTCAAACAAGATACAAGATATAAATGGGGTTTGTTTCTTGTTCTTCAGCGCTTCGCTGATGCCACTTAAATGTGAAATGATACTCTGAAGAGCGACACTGATGGAGTCAATTGATGGAGTGATGCACGCACACAGAAGTGTGGACTGGAGAGAGTCCACCAGCCACCAGCCAGCAGCTATTGGTTTAATAATTTATTTGATTGGAAACACATTCAATGCACTTCCATGTGGCACTTGGGTTCGTTTGTTCTTTGGAATATTCGAATATCATAATTATGTTCATGGCTGGACTGGGGGAATATACTCGTAATTTTTAATTGCCATTTGTTAGCCCACGCATGATTTTCTTACGCCTCTGGCATATTGATTTTTATAGATATTTCTCTTGGGCTTTTTATTCAAATATCTTTTGGTTATACATTCAATTCATTGTTACCAACAACAACATATATGTTTTTAAATAGGAATAAGTATGAATAAGGCAAGGGATAATCTGATTTTGGTTTGGGCTTCGAAATGAATCACTTTTCACTTTTCAATGCGAGCTGGAGACAGAATTCTGTCACGTTCCGAGTGCCAAGAGGAGTGTTTGGAGTTGTACAAAAGACCTTTCACTCAAAGGTTCTTTGTCTTAAAAATAGCTCTAGCATTTAAGATATACAAAATATTATTTCTTTTGGGGTTACATGCCAAATTGATTTCTGCTTATTAAAATGCCCAAAAATATGGCTGGCTAATTTGCGTAGCTGAGTAAAAGGTCAAAAGCATAGAGGCGAGAACCACTTAAGATTGTTGCCAAAAATGTCGTTGAGTGAAAGTTCATTTGCCGGGAAGTGAAAGAAATGAAAGACTCAAGGCACGAACTTGGGCCACTTACAGAAAGAAAGAGTTCAGCAATCAAATGATTAATTGCGGTCAGCTCTAAACTAGTTTCGTTTTACGAGTGAATTTCAATTACTTACCACAAAGAGTTGCATTCTGTTGCCAAGTTCTGTAGATATTTACGATGCTAAAGAGGAGCCTTGACTGTGTCTGTGGTTGTGCGTTATCCTTGAACTGCGAACAAGAAACGAAAGGAATGACACCACGCGGAAACAACAAAAATCACAAAAACACAGAGAAACACACAGAATGAAACAGAGACACATAAAGTCAATCCTGCGGTGCTTTTAATTTACGATTATTTCTTGTTCTTTTTTATCTCAGGGAACACTGAAACACGAAGGCCGAAAGGCACAGGGCACAGAGACACAAACACACCTCCTGCTCCTAGGTAGAACCAAGCGGGCCTGACAACGACTGAAGATGAACTGAATCGTGGCCGTGCCCACTGCCTCTGTTTATAACATTTCCATTAGCCAGAGACAGGCAGCAACAGCAACGCAAAAGAAATGTCCAACGAAACGGAGCAGCAGCAGCAGCAGCAGCAGCGCCAGCAGGTGTAAGAGAGCCGCAAAAGAGAGAGAGAGAGAGAGAGAGCGAAGGGAACGAAGAGAAACCCGACACGGCACGGGCACGCTGGGAGAGTCCGTCACGTAAACGAGCGCCTTGGGCGGAGTGCGACTGCGACTTATCTGGCTGATCTCTGAGCTGGCAAGGGTTTTTTTTTTGTTCAGCCACACTTGATATTCATGGATCAATGTCTAGGCTTGTGCAGATTGAAATCTTCTCTTGTCTCCCTCTCTGGTCGAGGCTACGACGGGGCATTTTGCAGGCACTTTTCGTTTCGATTGAAACTTGTTAGGCCGCGCTGACAGGGCGCGTCTTTGTTTGCTACTGTCCGTGTCCAACTAACAACCGAATCATCCTCAACATTCACAACTGACATTGATTAATTGGCCGTGTATTGAGAGGCGTCTGCTGGCCATTACAAGTGGAGTGAGCAGCGAGAACCTAGAGAGGAGCATTGTGTGTGGGTTGTGGCCAGTTAAGCAGCTCCACAACATGACATAAGCTTAAATTGTCAAAGACTTAAGAACCCAATGCTCCGACTCCTGCTGCCATGAATGAGACAGATCTCTCGAGTCTTTTGTTGTGTAATTCAATTAAAATGTTTGCCTGAAACTCGTTAGAAAGTTTTGAAGACAACTGAATTTTGGCTCACACACTTCTCGGGTGTCTGTCGGGGGGATTAGTTCTATAATTGAAATTCATTTTTGCAGGTTCCTGTTCGTGTTCGAAGTTGTGCCCTGCGGCTCTGCCATAAGTCTTTATTAGTCAGACAGCACCATCAATTTTTTCATTATCTGCACAGAGACACACAGCCACGCCCTCCACTGACACGTAAACAAAACAGAATCCAGCTCCAGGCAAGTGCCTGGCTTCCGATTCAGCCCAATTGTTGCCAATAATCGTACATACTTCTTGATTAACCAGGATCAGTTCGAACCTTTTTCGTGGCACACGCAGACATCAATAAAATGGCCACAAGATTTATGGTTTCGAACCCAAGACCCAAGCCCCAACGCCCCAACGCCAGTGGGGAGCATACAAAATGAGCAGAAATCGCTGTATAAACTCAAATGCGCCACACGCACACGGGACACTCTTCAGCTACCCAGCTTGCCCAGCAGTTTCATTCGATTCGAAACCCAATTCGGAATGCAGCAATCAAAAGGCGATAAATCGATGCAACAACGGCAACGAACGCAGGGAGGGAGCAGCTCCACTGCAGAGACCTTGAGACCTATTTATAAATGCATGCAAAACGGGACTGAGAGTGGGACGAATGTTGTCGTTGGGCCTAGGCAGCCCTGTGGGCCCAGGGACCAATTAAGTCTGACCTTCGGCACGAGAGAGGGAAGAGGGAGGAGACTCAAACCGTTGTTTATAACCGCTAACTGGGAAAAGAGCGCCTGGCAGATCACAGATCCATGGCCAGCCGCAGAGCGGTGCCCGAACTGCTTTCAGTTCTGCTTCTTGTTGTCTTCGGTTCTGTAACCCAATTATGCAGCAGCAGAGTGGCAGGCAGTGGGGGGGGGTGTGGCTTCTAGGCTGGTTCCCAGCTTAACGGCAGTCAAGGCATTGATATCAGCGCTGAGAACGTGACAGACAGCGAAAGAGCGACCCTAAATCTAGATCTGTGTCAGTGGCAAGTACTTTTGTGTCTCTCTCTCTCTCTTTTTAGTGCATTCCGCAAAGAAAGTTGTGGAGTGCGTTTGGAACTTGTTTAGGGGAAATTTAAGCGGACAGATCTCTGACATCAAATTTTAATTGTGGCAGTGAAACTTGCCACAAAACAAACCCAAACCCAAATCCAAACCCAAACCCAAACCCAAATCCAAATCCAAACCGTATTAATTTCGAGTGCGAGTAACTTTTGGTTTTTTTGCGCACATCTGCATATTATTAATGTAACTTTGTCTCGTGTTGTTTTGGGCTTTTCGTTGGTCATATTTTATTTAGGCCACGTTGTGGTCTCTCTGCTCGCCAAGGCTTTCCGCTCTGTTCAATTCAAATCATTTGGCAAGTGCGCGCACGCGTCCAACATTTCAAATTGTGTTCCAGTCCCCCCACAGAAATAGCCCACAAAAACTAAGCAAATCAAAACAAATTAAGACTTGGGATGCACTGGCCACGGGTAAATCAATTAGGCATTATAAAATGCATAAATCGTACAAGTTGTTGGCCCACCAAACAGCACGCGCCACAAAATGGCTGGATGGGTGGCTTCGGAGTGGCAATTAGATTTGTTTCGGAATGTTTTGGTGTAGGAAAATGTGACACCAATCAGAGGTATCATTGAAGATCAATTAAGTTAGGGCAGATAGGCGACAGTTTTCGTTTCTGTTTGCGTTTATTTAAAAGTGAAAATATTCTTGCCTGAACTTACGTTTAGCTGGCAGCATTCGCTGATCATTTGGCCCTACATTTATCGCTATATGAATTACATTTTGATGCCCAGTTCCTTGCCACTTTTTTGGGTAATTCTGTGTGTAAATCTCTGACCTATAAAGGCGAATATCTCTCCTCTAACTACTCCACAGCTCTGCAATTAGTTGCAGTAAGCAACAGCTGGCTTTAGCTACCCTTTAAGACCATTCTGAGTAGCGCCCCTTAAATCACGTTCGATGACATGACATTTAGCAGCCCATCCGCGCGCTTCTCTAATGCACTAAACCCAAAACAGAACACAGTTAGGAAACTACTTTTATTTGTTCATTTAAGCATAAGTGCCGCCATATTTATGCTGAAACTGTTGAGTGTTTGCGGACGGATTCAAGGCACTCGCTGCGCGGGAGCTGGTGGCCTTGGCCAAATTGCCACCCATGACAACGAAGCCAATGCCGGCGCCAGCCTTGTAGCTCAGCTCATGGTAGCCGGCCTCGTCGTAGTAGGAGTACTTCCCCAGCACAGTGCCCGACTCATCGGTGTGCTGGGCATGGGACATTTGGTGGGTGCTGAAGTCAAAGCTGGCTGCCGTCCGGGGAGTGGCACTGAGACTGGGACTCAGACTGGAGCCGATTTGATAGCCTCTGCTGAGGGATGCTGTGGCCAGGCTGTCTGCTGTGGGTTGTGTGTTGTAGGGGCCAAAGATCTCCAGGGAATTGCCTGCACCTGCTGCCTGTCCGTACTTGGGGGACTGCGCACTCCTGCCCGTCCTGTCCCCATCCGTGTTGTAGGCGTAACCTTTGCCATTGAACTGCATGTAGACACGAGCTCCTTGCACGCAGCCTAGAGCCAGCAAACCCGAGAGGAGCAGCAGCAGTTGAGACTTCATCTTCAGGCAAACTTCGAGGCAAAACTAAGCGCAGAACTGCCACGGGCTGTGGGTTATATGTGGGGGCAAACCGCAGAGCAGCGCAGACTCTGGGCCAATGCAACCTGCAGCCACGGGTATTGGGTGACCCAAGGGATAGAGTTACAGAGTTACAGTTGCTAAATTATTACTATGTATTCCGCTTTTCAATACTGTTACAGTTGCTGCCTTAACGCTGATCAATCACTTATGGCTACGACCTAAAAAAGTATCCAAGGGGAAGTAGGAGTAGGAGTAGGAGTAGGAGTTTCCGGGCCTAATGCTCCCTGGAGGCAGCCAACTCGGCAATCTCATCCTGCCTTAATGCCTCCGATGGTGACAGCCCCACCCGTCCGCCCAGCGGCACAATGTCTATGTTCTGCACGTGCGCTCGGACACTCTGCCCCGGGGGCAGTCCCAAATACCATTTGCCCACATTCTTGATCACCGTGGAGTCGCGATGCCGCAGCACCCAGTCCCTATCCCGATCGATCTCCAGTGTGCGATGATTGGCCGTGACCAAGGGCGGCAGGGAGCTGCCAACATCGTCATCGTTGAGGTTGTAATTGTCGCCGGGCCCGCTGATGGCACTGCCAGTGGAGCTGCTTCCGCCTCCGCCTGAGCCTCCTCCTCCTCCTCCTGTGGGTGGCAGATAGCCGCCGCTGGACACACCTTCGCTGGAAGCAGCTCCGCCTCTGTGTTTGCCTGCTCCTCCAGCTCCCCTTTCCGCGCTGCCTCCCCTGCCGCTGAAGCGATTTTGATTGCGTGTGCCGCTGGCATTGATGCGCGTGGAGCCCTTCTGTCGCGTGGCGCTGCTGCCTCCGCCTGTGCGTGTGCGTGTGCGTGTGCCAGCCTTGCCTCCTCCTGCACCTCCTCCGCCACCCCTCTCCCTCTCTGCTGCATCGTATGTGGTGCTGCCTCTGGGCGGGCTTCCCGCTGCGTAGCCCCAGCGATCCTCCTTGCCGCGGAAGGAGCTGGAACCACTGGAAGTGCTGCTGAGTCCAATGTCCTCATCCTCATCGCCTCCACCATTGCCATCGGCTGCCAGATCATCCTCCGCTGCGCCATTTCCATCTGCAGTCTGCCCATCAGCTCCTCCACCACCTCTGCTGCCAGCTCTGCTGCCTCCTCCACCGGGTTTCAGATAATCTGTGGCACCTGCACCACCACTAGCCCCGCCCAATCGCCCGCCCGCACCCCTGCCAAAGTCATTGGCCAGCCGGAAGTCCGTGTCCGCCAGCCGGAAGTCGGCCACCGAGGGATTTATGTGCGTGCCCGGACCAATGCGATTGTGCACCACGCGATAGCCAATGCCCGCGCCCGCAATGTACTCCACCGTGCGCTGCACGCCCTTGTCGTCGAGGAAGGAGTACGTGCCGCGCACGAGGCCATCCGGGGCACGACTCTCCGCACGCCGATGATCCGGTCCGGCGGCAATCAGCTTGTAGCTGCCCGCGGGTCCACGCTGCACGGACATCTTGCCGCGTGTCCGGGGCGGCGCCTTGTACAGCGGACTGGAGTAGGCCACGCTGGAGGGATTGTCGGGCACGGCATTGGAGATCTCAAAGCCAGTGCCGGCGCCTGCAGCATAGCGCACACTGTGACGCTCTCCCACATCATCCAGGTAGGAATAGAGACCTGAAAGGGGAGAGCATAAAGGGAATGCCAGCAGTAGAGGGCTGATCGGAGCGGAGCTCACCCCTGATCCTATTTCCTGCATCATTCTCCTCGCTCCTCGACTGGTCCGGCGTGCGGTAGCTGAAGCTGTAGGAGGGATCATCAAAGGGATCGGCCAGCGGGTCGTCGGGGCTACCGCGCGGCCTCACCGGATACTGTGCCAAGTCCATTTTGCGGTGTATCTTCGGTCCATTCACGCGAAAACTGTGTGAGAATTTGGCAGATTAATTGGCTGCAACCGAGAGTACAATGAGAGTACAATCAGCTGCCTGGATATTGGGTAAACCCCCGGCGTAGCGGATGCCGAATGGAAGTGCGCTGCTGCTCCCATAAGCGCTGCAATTTCAATCAGATGCGAATCTGGACCTGCTGTGGCACGTCATTACTTTGATTAGCCAATCGCAGGAGGGGGGGAGTCCGAGTACACTCCATTCAGAATCATCATTTGCTATCGCTGAGCATCTGTGAGATCTGTGGCCTGGCACCCTCTAGCTTTGGGCCTGAATTTGGGGTGTATTTGTGGAGCTGTAGAACATGCCAAGACGTCAGCTGATTGCGTATTTGCTGGTTGAATTTCTCAGCCTAACTCAGCTGCAACTTTAGGCCAACAGAATCTTGCAAATGGTGGTTGAATAGTTCTTATAGTAACCATTAATAAAGCCACAGTAAGAGCTACTCCCCTAGTCGTAACACTGCGACGAGTGTTTCCCCCCAGTTGTTACATTTGTTTTGGCCGTGTGCCAGTCAATTTGTTAACAGCTTTTTGTTGGCAGCGTTTACCGGAGATTGCAAAAAACAAATCCCAACTCCTAATGTAAGAAACGTTTAGGCAACAGCAGCAACAACACAAACCAGTAGCAGTCCAATGTGTTAGAACCGTTTCAGCTGCGGAGGGGCTTCCGTCCCGCTTCAGTGGTCAGCGCCTGCCGCATCTGTACCTCTCTCTACCTGTGGCATCTTTGGTCTTCATTTACTCACCCACGTGGTCCGGCCGTATAGACGGTCTCTTCGATTTGGCCGCTCGCTGGACTACGCGAACCATAACGACCTCGCACCGTGTTGTCTGGCGTGCCCGAGGCGCTGTGATAGTAGCCGCCAATGTCATCATTTGCATGTCTGCGCTCCGATCCAATCCCAACCCATTCGATCAGCAGTATCCAAAAAGTGGCAAGTAATTGCGTTGCCCCCATGCGTGGCAGGCAGGAGTCGGCGTGCGAAATGGTAGACGGTGGAAGGGGGAGATAGATGGAACGACGGAAATGTGTTATTGTGGCGATTGCAAAATGTTACTTGAGGGCGTTCAAAAAGGTGTTAGAAAAAAATTATGAAAACTCGTTCGAGTGTGCGATGGATGGGCAACATTATTCAACAATTAGTTTAGGATTAGAAGATTTGTTTTATGATTTATGAGCCATGAACAGGGGCTGTATGTAATTAATTGAGTTGAAGATTTCCTCAAAGATTTAGCAAGTCAATGCCCGGAAAAGACAGCCTAAAATTAGCTCAAATGTGGAATAAAATATTGGAACATTTGTCACGACAAAACTAAAGATTTTGCTATGGAAAATGTATCTTAAAATTGCACAGATTGCAGTCTGAGAATATCTTGATCATGAGGTGAGCGTTTTTCTTATTGAAAGTTCTCTTAAATTACAGAAAACTTTACAAGTTGCAAGCAGAAAGGGAGATGCAGACACGAATTTAAAATGTCCCTTTTTAAGGGTTTTAAATAGAATATTTTCCAAGGCGCACATCAAATAAAAACTCATGTGTTTACTGGCATCCTTTTTGGATTCGCTGCCATTTAGTTTGCATTCTTAAACCACTTTTATGTGGCATTCATGAGCAGCAATAGTCTTGGTCCTTCCTCTTTTGAGTCATTCATGGTTCACATTCATTCTCTCATTTATCACTCTACATGCTTGTGTATACCGAAACTGAAAAGATCCATCCTCGTTGATGGTATTGTACTCGATTTCAGCACTCGCTGGCTGTGCCCAGTAGCCCAGGAGAGCGCACAGCAACCAAAGCAGATGCATCTTCACTGCCTTCAAACAAGAGTGGGTATGGTGAGAGCTTCAAACGAACATCCTGGCACAAAATGAACAGGGAGAATGTTCCAATGATGCGAAACCGATTCCGATCTTGGCTGGGCACTTTCTAGGGAGACTTTTGGAGCTGGCGGGCGGCAAGAACAACGCGACGACGACGACTGATGCGCCCCAGCGTTAGACCTTCGTATTTAAATACGATTCTCAGGCGAGGCAGCCAACCGATGGTGGCAGCGGCACACAGTCGCTGTTCGTTCGTGTTGCCTCTGCTGCTGCCTCTGCTGCTGCTTGTCTCACCTGACCACCCACCCAAACGAAACGCCGAAACATCAGCAAACACCAAAACACCAAAGTGGAAGCCACGAAGATGGAAGCAGCAGCAGCAGCAGCATTTGTGTGCAAATTGCGTTGCAAGAAGTGGCACCAACAGTGGTGTGGCAGGGGCAGGTGAGAGAATTTGTTCTAATGACGGACACGCAAGTGCTGTTGTGGCTGTTTGTTGTTTATTTTTGTGTGGCAGGCAGGCAGGCAGGCAGGCAGTCTCCTTGTTCAGTAAATTGCAACAAGAACGGGAGAATGTGGGCTGGAATGGGCGCTGTGAAATGGGAGAATGGAAAATCGTGCACAGCAGCTGCCTGTCAATTAGCTCACGTTGTTGCTCCCCCAAGAGACACAGACACAGACAGAGATGGAGTTGGAGATGGAGAGCTCTTCCTGGCCATGGCTTACCCCCAACCAGAGATGGAGCTATGGCTCGACAGCTGCCATTGAACTTCAGTGCAGTCCATGGAGGACTCTGGAGAGCCGCGTCGAAATATTCAATTCAATTTCAGCAGCACCGTTAGCTGGCCGGGACTCGAGCGATGTGGCTTTTGGCTCTGATTACAAATTCGATCCGCCACGAGTCTAGGTCAGTGTCTTAGCTGCAATTTGGCAGAGAGGCAAAGGCAGCGGTCAGCGGCATTGCATCATGCAATTAAAGGCAATTATCCAGCAGGCTGGAGCCACAGCTCTGCGATGAGCGATGTACACCCGCCACGAAAGCGACACAATTTCCGCCCAGGGATGTGCCGCCGAAAAGCCTTCGACGATGCTTTTTAATGAACCATAATTATGTATGTATGTAGCCGCGTACCAAGTACAGTTATTGGCCATTGTTCTGGACGCTCTTCTCCGAGTTGGAGTTGGAGACTCCACCTGCTCCACCTCCGACTCAAGGCACAAACCTCGGAGCGCTTCGCTGATTATTGTGATGACAAAGACTTTGGCTTTGGGTTGGACTTCTGCTGCCATGATAATCTTTATGGCTTTCAGGCATATGCAAATTTGTCTTGACCAAATGCGGAAGAGACTCTTTGTGGTTCTGGGCCATTTATTGGTTAATTGTTCAGTCAATTGGAGCGAGTGCGCGTTTGATATGTGAGTTTGAATGAAATAAACCAGAATGGAATGGAATGGATACTCCCATGATGATCGTGTAGCTGCTGCTGCTGCTGCCAATGACCATGTGTTCATCTGTGGCATGTGGTTGTGGGCTGTGGCCAGCTTTAAGGACAAGTTTCAATGCGCTTTGGAGGCAACTGCGCACGCATGGGAAATGTGCAACCAGTCGAACAACTTGCCATTGAACCACATACCCATAGAGCAAGGCTGGTAACTGGATTCCCATCTACGTTTCACTCACCCAGACGGAGCAGAGCAGAGGTGACCAGCCGCCAGCAGCCAGCCGCCAGACAGCAGCCATCGGCCATCGGCCATCCTGTGAAAAGTGAAAATGCTTTCATTTTCATTGAAGCTCTGGCCGCTGCGCCATTCATTTGACAACAGCCCAGGGGCTCAGATCTGTGCAGCTCCGACACCATTCATTTTGTGCAATGAATATTACACAATTGTTATACATCTCGTGTGTGGTTATCACATCGCTGGGTGTGATCGATGTGAGCGAAGCCATTGGCTATACAATACGCTTCGAGACGAAGAAGTCGCGCTGCCTGAATCCTCCGCGCACCGCTAGGAAAGTGGAGTCTGTCATCACAGACTGCCAGGATGAGGTCAAAACGAAGCTGGTGAACGGTGGGTGGAGCAATGAAGGTATTCCACTCACACACTAATGATCTGTGTCTCCCCACAGAGGCCTATGAAATACTCAAAGAGCAGGTGTCACACGATCAGCCACCCATCGATCCGCACGATGATGCCATCGATTTCATTTGGCCCTCTGCGCCCAGCGATTCCTCGGGCATGGAAGTGGAGCATCCACATGAGCCACTGAATGCCAGCCACTACGAATATATTTTAATCGATGAGCCCGAACCGCGTCGCCGCATGGCGCGTCTCATGCAGAACATACGACGCCTGGATGTGGCCAGTTCGGGCATTTATCATCCGACGCTGGTGCCGCTGGAGGACAAGCGTATAGCGGGGGTGAGTAGTACTTCATAAATCCCTCGAAAATATCCCCAAGGACAGCTGCGATCTCGAGCCATCTTCAGGTGTTAATGAAATGCAAAGCCCAACGCTCAATTAAGTTCAATGGCAGCCCGCAGAAAAAACAATGTGCCCAGAGAATAATCACAGCTTCAGCCCACACACACACACACACACACATACTACCGCTCCCCCCCCCCCCACTCATTTGCTCATGTTAAAGTCAGGGCTAATAGACAATTGAAAGAAAAGCGCTAGGCCACAGAGCAGTTGCCACTGCATTTTCATTGCATTTTCAGTTCCATTCATAATGGCACGCCGCCAGTCTCAGTTCTCAAATTTTTCACACTGCGCACTGCAAAAAGCGCACTTAATACACATTAGCTGAATTTTATGCATCAGCAAATTGAATGGCCGCCATTCGTTCTCTCACCCCTCTCTCCATCCCCCTTAGTGTCTGCTGCACTGCGTCTATGCGAAGAATCATGCCATCGATCATATGGGCTGGCCCACACTGGACGGACTGGTGCAATTCTACTCGGAGGGCGTGCACGAGCACGGGTTCTTTATGGCCACACTGCGCTCCGTGAATCTCTGCCTGCGGGCCATGACCGCCAAGTACCATGTCAATCGCAAGGCGCTGCCGCAGAAAGGTGAAAGCTGCGATTTGGCATTCGATGTCTTTGACTGCATATCGGACCAAATTACAGGCTATTGCCTGGATCAGTATAGCCGGTATTAGCCGGTACAATAGTATGTGTGTGTTTGTGTGTATTTTGTTATATGTAACTGTACTTGTACCTGCGTGTGTTTTTGTCAATAAAATGTTTAGTGCGAATCCAAATGAAAGTTACGACCCATTCCAAGCGTAATAAATCCTAATTGGGAAGGATGTGGTGGATGCAGCCCTCCTAGAAGGTATATCTCATATAAGATCGAATACGAACCCATGGAAATCCTAGTTTAACGGCAGCCCGAGTTCAACTTAGTTTATTTTATTGCACGCTGATACTTCACCAAAAACTCGCTCAACTGCGGTACACACTCGATTTTCACACAGATTTAAAGGTAACGAACTTATTTGTATAATCCGAATGTTTATAAACTTATTTTAAATTAAACAAGCAACAGGTCGAAATTTGCCAGACGCTGTCTACATCTAATAAATACACGCCATTCTAGCTCCACCTGGTGACTGCTTTTAGTATCCTATATACTTTTAAAGCAGCAGATGGTATATTATGATGTATTTGGCAGGTATATTTGATCAACAAATCCGAGGTCACACTGGTTTCAGCTGTAAATCGTCGAAATCGAGTCGACGGTATATTTTTTGCTTATCGGTTTATATAGGTTTATTTCGACAATTGCTCGGTATGTTACGGTATATTTGAGAAGATAACACATTTTTGAGAAGATATCAAACAGATTTCACACAAAATTATAGACAGGACTGAAGAAAGGAGAGAAATAATATGGGTTTGATACGTTTTAATTTAAATAAAAAAATTGTATGTCCACGGTACATTTTACGGTATATTTAGAAAATGAAAAAGTATATTTCGGTATATTTTCGAAGCCCTGACGGTATATTGTATCGATAACTCCGCGGTCACTCTGGTAAAAACGTAAATATGTTTTAAATTTTAAGTAATTTAATTATATTAAGTGCATATTTAACAAAAAGTGCAGCGTGCAACGTTTTATAGTGTATGTGTCTGTGACAGTAATGTAAAGAGTAGTGGACATGCAGGTGCTCTCATTTCTTTCCCCGCTTTCGCTTTTCGTATGAAGTTCCTGGAATTTATGACCAGTGGAGTCCCATTCAGTGTCAACCGCGTGGTCAGCATTCCTCGGGAGTCTGTGAAATTCCCTGGATACCATAAAACATATTGATTCCCTTATACATAGCCTTTTTTTTGGCCCTGACAAAGGACTGTTCTTATATAACACGAGTGCAGGTGGGCGGTGTAGCCTCAATATGCGCTTGCGCCTGCTAATCGCATAAAAAGTGAAATTTCCCAATGAGTTTCCCACTGTCTGCAGTTGCTGTCTGTCTCCGCCCACAAATTGCTACGTCACATGTAAATTTGTAAAAATAATTTCGCGTCTGCTGCATCTATGACGCAATAACTGTGCGTTCCCCTCCCCTTCCAATTGCCGCGTGTGCTTTTTCTGCGTTCGCGTGAGTGAATCATCAATCAACTCGAAGAAGAAAGCGCGCGGCACAGTTAGCTTTTGTTGTTGGTGCGGAGAATGAGGGGAAGCATAACAAGTTGTTGCTGTCGTTTACATACGTTATTATGTAGCCTATGACTCTTAAAATGATGATTCAAAGGGTTTGATAGTCCCAGATCAGTGCATTATTGCAGTACTCTCTCTCTCTCTCTCTCTCTCTCTCTTGGCCTTCCAGTGTCAGCTTTTGAGCTTTGCAGCTGCTGACACTCTCTCACTCAGTGCCTCCTTGCTCTCTTCTTCTTGTTTCTCTTTCTGCTGTTACCCCAACTCTCCTTGGCCTTCCTCTTCTGTTACGATGGCCAGCTGTGTGTTGTAGGGGGCTCGTCTAGCTTGGCGCCTCAATGAAATGCAGTTGCAGGTTGGTTGCTGTCCCGGCTAAGCGTAGACTTGCTTTATCGATTGAGTGTCTGGAATTCCGCACCTGTGAGGCATGAGCCTTAAAATTGATAAGCCAATGCCAAGCGCGTGTATGAACTTGAAAATGTTGTTAATTAACCGGGGGAGGGGGTAATCGATACACTCTTTATTATTAACCAGCAGAATTAATGTATTTCTCTTCCTCTCTCATGGCCTGTGTGGGCGGCTCTTTTGAAAAGGCGACCGGCTGACGACAAGCGGGCGGACTTTGGTTTGTTGTAAACAAAATTCTAGCTATAAATAGGGGAAGAGCGCAGAGAGCGAGAGTAGGGAATATGCAAGAAGAAAGACGGCGACAAAGAGTGACAGCTAGCACCGATGAGATAAGTAGAGGAAGTTGTATATGCGATACCTGGATTCTTATCAGCACTGACGGGCCATACCCCCTTTTACACTGCTGTACACCCACCCACACACACATACAGATGCGGTTTTGCAGTGTCATGTGCCCATTTTCTGTGTGTTCCCATTGTGTCTGTGTGTTTTTTATCACACGGCGCTCTCTGTTTTCCTTTCCTGCCGTTCGCTTTGAACGAAAAAAAAAACGCAAAACGAGAAGAGACAGCCGACAAATTCGATTTCTAAAATGTATCTCCCTGTCGGTGGGCCGAATGTTCGCAGTCGACGCGCAGCACTCAACACGAACAAACGTATCTGTCAGATACGTCGCGACGAGTATTATATATTCGGTTGGTTTATTGGAGCAATCCGCACACAGTATATAATGCGTACATATAAACGTAGATTCGTGGTGTATTCCCCCAGTGCAGTGTACATTATTAGTAGGACAGTGTAATATTTTGAATGAATTTTCCACGAGTCACGCTCCAAATGGGGTAGCGGTGGGGTGTCAAGTGCAACCTCATCGCTATCGCCGGCAAATGGAGAGTGTTATTTCACACCAATTAGCATCGGATCGGGAGGAATCAGCTTCAGGGCATACACCGCATAATATTCATCTCTATATTTCTTCGTTTTTTGCACTTATGTAATAATGTTTTCGTAACCAAAGCGGCAGCGTTTGCGTCAGCTGCGACGGCAGCCAGCAAGCAGCGAGCAACGAGCGAGCGGCGACGACGACGACGACGTCAACGTTCATTTCTGAGCAGAATATAATTGCAAGAGAAAACAGTTTGTGTAAAATGCCAGCAACTAGATAAATAACGGCACTTAACGACGCAAAATTGAATTAGCTTTAACGGTATCTGTGCACGAACCCAGATGTTGTCTGTATGCACCCACACATACATGCACACGTATAATCGTGTTTGTTAGATCTGTTTTGTAATCGAATCGAATTGAAGTGCCTGCCTGCACTTTCAAATGTTTCACATTGGCCACCGGCTGAAACCGGTTTACCTTCGGTCTGCCCTCCCTCCAATCGTTTTGTAATCACTCAGCAAATTTGTCTGGCAAGGCAGGAGACGAGACCGACCCTCCCCTCCCTGCTCTGATAAGAGCATGTGACCCAGACCACGCCTTCGAAAACTACAAATTCTGCGTTTCCTCCTTGGGTGGATTTGTTTTTGCATAAAGCAGCTGATTAGAGACCTCAAATATTCAATTACGACATCCGCACGCGCTGCCTTATCAAAATTTCATTAATAATATGACAATATTTTGGGGTCTGTGGCAACTTCCAGCACCATTCGCTGATAGCACTGTCTGCATGGCCTGATCTGGTTCCAGCAAGCATCTATATATATGCTCTGGTATTACGACAGTTACTCGTCTACTGGGGCCATATGTTTAGTCATGATTCGCAAGTATTTATTATGCCTCACGCCAGACCAACCTCGGGACATTCACATTTGACGTTATCTTTCGCTCCCTTTGCCTTGTCCGCTCCGTAAACTCGTTTCCCCCCCCCCCAAAAAAAAAGCAGGTGAATGCTCACGATGAGCAAACAAACGTTCGTTTTTCGTTTTATTTAACGGGCAAATATTCAGCAAGACTGATTAAGTTGCAAACGAAATAAAACTGCGCAAAAAGCGGCAACATTCTCTCTCTTTGCTCTCCTCCGAGAAGTATATAAACGGCAAGCATTTCACCATTCCCCATTTCGCATTCCCCTTGAACATACAGAAAAGGGGCAAAGTATCTTTATTGCTTAGTATATTTGTTTTTTGGCTGCTTATCAAAAAGACGAAGGCCCAACCCGCCTAAAAAACAGAGCAGCCCACGCCAGAGTTTGACGTCATTGTCGGAGCAGCAGCAGCAGCAGCGGGAGAGTCAGCTGCCAGCCAGCCAGCCATAGTTGTCAGCGTCACGTGTGTGCTGCCCGAGTTTCCATTACTAGTCCATAGGGGACTCGTATGTAAATTACCCCCCGGGTTCTCTCTCTCTCTGTCTCTCGTGTGCTTCACCACAACTTGTTTTGTGCGTAAATTTCATAAGAGCCGCTGGCTGTCTCGGCTGGCAACAAGTATTCATTGGGTTACTTTTTATCGTTTGATCGGGTGTGACACACTTAGAACATGACCATGACGTACAAAAAACTACTCTTCTGGGGACAACCTTATCTTATCAGGGCACTTACAGCAGCCAGACAGAGGCTGATTGCTGACGGGGGCGCTGCTGGCTCCTACGTGCCTTGTTTGTCAACAAACAGAAACAAAGCCAACAAGGCAATCGATTAATCAGTGTTGAAATATGTATCTGTATCTGTTTGCTAATGATTATTGCTCTACTCCATTTGCAGTTCTATTTTGTAAAGCTACAAAATGCATAGAGCACATACAGCCTTCAGTTTGGCGTTGTCGCCAATGGCGCACAGGAACTTTGCCACATGGCTGCTGAAGAGCGGCACCAGCCAAAAGGTAAGCTTTAGCGGACATACAAATAGCAATACTGACATTCCATTTGCCTGCAGCTGGCCAAGGCGACAGCTGCCGCGGCGGTGCGTACCTACAACTCGGCTGCGGCCGAACCCTTTGCCAATGGCAGCACGGCAACCTATGTGGAGGAGATGTACAACGCCTGGCTGCGTGATCCCGCCTCTGTGCATACAGTAAGTGACTGTTACAATCCTTAGACAGCACCTTCTAATGCATATTTATGATTACTTGACAGTCCTGGGATGCCTAC